AGTGCCTACTGTTTGTTTGCCAGGTACTAGCCAGCACATTCCTGCCCCTAGGACCCTTATGGCAGACAGAGTATCTCATTTATTCTAATATATATCTTAACTAGAGTGGTCTTTTGACTGACATGACCATTACTTTACCCAAGGCAGCCCATTTGCTTTGGAGTGAAACTTGGGCTTGCATCCTGACTAAGCTGCTGAGCTAGGCAGTAACCTGTCTGTGCAGTAAACTGTGGATTTTCTCTAGTCTTAGTTTTTGTCATTAAAATGAGAATAATAGGGCTTCCCTGGCGGCGCAGTGGTTGAGAGTCCGCCTGCCGATGCAGGGGACATGGGTTCGTGCCCCGGTCCGGGAAGATCCCATGTGCCGTGGAGCGGCTGGGCCCGTGAGGCATGGCCGCTGAGTCTGTGTGTCCGGAGCCTGTGCTCCACAATGGGAGAGGCCACGACAGTGAGAAGCCCGCGTACCGCAAAAAAAAAAAAAAAAAAAAAAAAAGAGAGAGAATAATACAATCTAACTTAAAAGGAGGTTTGAACATTAATTAAGACAGTATTTAAAAAGTACCTAGAATGATGTCAGGTACTCAGTAGATGCTCAGTAAAGGGTAGCTCTGCTTTTCTGCTTTTTATTTCTGTAGTCTGCCAAGAGAAACTGGCAGCAGTGGGTTGAAGCAGATGAGTGTTTTTTTGTTTTACAATAGAGTCTTTGAACTTTTATTGGAAATCAGGACATCCTCCTTCAATAAATTGTTTTAAGTAAGTTTTTTGGAATAATACATCTAACTTAAAAGGAGGTTTGAACATTAATTAAGACAGTATTTAAAAAGTACCTAGAATGATGTCAGGTACTCAGTAGATGCTCAGTAAAGGGTAGCTCTGCTTTTCTGCTTTTTATTTCTGTAGTCTGCCAAGAGAAACTGGCAGCAGTGGGTTGAAGCAGATGAGTGTTTTTTTGTTTTACAATAGAGTCTTTGAACTTTTATTGGAAATCAGGACATCCTCCTTCAATAAATTGTTTTAAGTAAGTTTTTTGGAAAATGCTTCTTATTTTGCATTATGTTTAGCATAATGAAAACGCAGTGACTGTCCTTTTAAGACTATAAAAGTTCATTTTCTTATTAATCAGTCACTGACCCCCCCACCTTTTTGTGGGCAAGAAGTGATAAACTTTGATCAGTCATTCTTGTTCACATCTTTGATTCCTTCCATACTCATCATAATTTAAACTGCAGATATTGAAAGAGCACAGACTATCTTAGGATATTGGAAAGCTAGAATACAAGTGTATTTCGAAAGGAATATTAGAGATCTAATCAAACTCTTTCCTTTTTCGGATCAGGAAAAGGGTCTAGAGGATGAAAATGCCAAGCTCACATGACACTGCAGGCTTCCTAGTGCCTAATGCTCGGTTCCACTGATTTAGGCTGATGTTCATATTTTGATCATCAGTTCAAGTTCAATCAAGAAGAGCTGTCACTTAACAAGGTTTCTATTTTATAGTTAGTTTACTTTCTGGGAAATGGATTCTAGAAAATAGGTAGGTGGTTTTGATATTTGGCCCAATTAGCAAGCCAAAAAGGAAAAATGGAAGAATGAAGTATAGAAATCAAAGCACTCTTGACTTGTCACTTTGGTTCTCGGGCAGGAAAACCAACATTGTTTGTGCTGTTCTTATTCCTTGGGTTTATTTGTGTCTGTACCCCTCCACCTACTTCTTAATGACACAGACATTTACATTTTGGTCCTTTTTGTAAAATTAGATACTTAAAATAGAAAAAAAGTCAGTGAGGGAGTAATCAAGAATGATAAACTTTGGACCCTCTCTTTTACTTGACAAGATATGTGGCTTGAAACTCTAAATTACCATAGCATCATAAGAAACAAAGTGTTATACAAATGTAAAGTAGTTTATAATAATTGTAATTGCGAATAAGGTTGGATCGTGGGGAGGAGTACATATTAGACCAGGGTTGGCAAAAATGTGCTTGTTCCATTGGGTGTGTATCTTGCACTTACACGTGTCTGTTCAGACACTGTTTTCTTCTAATTCCATTCAGAGCCTGAAAATTCTTCTCAACACATTGCATCTGAAAGTCAGTACCAGTTGATCAGAGTTTGTATATTGGTATTTATTTATCATCCTTGTATTAAATCGTGACAAGTGAAAGGAAAGCTAGTATAAGTGTAAAAAGGATAGAGGACTTTTTATTTGTTTTTTAATCCCACAAAGCATTACTGAAAATTTAAATATTCATTTAGGATTTTAGTTTTAATGTACCAATAAGAAGTCAGTGGTTATTTTAGCAAAAATCTTTATATTCTAGGCAATAGGCTGGGGGAGACGGTATGAAGTGGCTTTGCTAAATTATAGGTGAAAAGGAGGCTTCTTTACTTACTGGATGGAAACAGCTGTCATAAAACAAACAAAAACACTGTATAATATTCTTTATCGACTGATTCTCTTGGGTGCTTTTGTCATTCAGTGATTGGCAAAATGCAAGTTCTGGAATTTCACAGGTTGCTTACTACTTTAGTTGCATTTTAAAAAAAAAAAAAGGCTGAGGTCTCCTTTTCCATCTCTCCCCACCACCATTACATTTTGACCCAAAAAACCCCCTACAACTCTGTAGCCGGAAAGGGGATGTATAAAAACAAACCTCGAGATAAGGAAATAGGAGAAAAGAAATATTTCCAACATTTAAAATAAATTACTTGAAGGAATTCATTCATTCCTCAATTGAGGAAACATATGCAGGCTTTCTAAGCTGCCAGGCCCTGTGTGAGGCACAGTGATACAGATGTGTGGAACAAGGCTTCTCAACCTGTTTCACATCATGGCACGCATAGAAAATGAGAATATAGAAATAGAAATCATCTGCCAGGGAGCTCCTGCCACATCAGGCCCTCTGGGCAGTCCTGTGGGTTGAGGAGATGATATCTTGGCACACCCATCATCCTTTGGGAGTTACAAACATTGGGAACTTTTGATGTAAGACATACTTCCTACCCTTGGGAAACTGACAGAGAACATAGGCAAGGGAACAGACACTGAGCATTCGTGTCTCCAAGACTGGTTTTGTTGTGGAGAAGAGATAGTGGCTGGCCTGATTTTGAGTGTGGTGCATAGATTGTTGGAGGGAGGACAGATCCAGCTACTGCAGAAAGAGATAGCGGAATTTTGTCTTAACTTGTTTCTCCAGTTATGCCTCAAATCCACTTGACTTCCGAAAGAATGTGCAATAAAGTTTTGATTTAATTCAGGGCTTGAGATGAGGCAGGATAAACACAGAAGAGTTTTTCCTTTTTGTGAACACTAACCTTAGAAATTCTCATTCTGGCCACCTGTCCTCCTGTCTCTCTATGGACCATATTGAGAAGATGAGGACAATGAGGAAAGGATCAGGAGGAAAAGTGGGAAAGATATTCTGGAAGAGCCATACCAGTTTGGAGCCGAAGAGCATGTTAAGGCATCTGCTCCCCTCCCATCTTCATCCCCCACCACCCCTGTAATACTCTCTACTTTAAAAAAAACCTGTAATACTCTCTACTTTAAATATGGATTATATCCCAGTGTAACTTCCCTTGGACCCCTCAGGTTGCAGAAGTAAAAAAAAAAAAGTTTGTATCCTAAAACAATTCAGTGAATATTACTGGATATCTGTGTGGTGGGTGGGGTCAGGAGGGGTGGTCCCTATTTCATGGAAGGATAATAATAGTACAGGGTGAGTAGTGTTATGGAAGGACAAAGGAGAAATGTCAGGATGATCAAAAGGACTACTTTTGCCCTATCAACCTTAAAGTTCTAGAGAAGCTGGAGGGTGGAAAAGTGAGATCCCAACAAGTGTGGAAAAAAAAAAAAAGGGATAAAATGAGGCGAATCCTTTTACAAAGCCAAAGCTTTGAGTTAAAAAGTAATGAGAGAGGGCTTCCCTAGTGGTGCAGTGGTTGAGAGTCCGCCTGCCGATGCAGCAGACACGGGTTCATGCCCCGGTCCGCGAAGATCCCACATGCCGCGGAGCGGCTGGGCCCGTGAGCCATGGCCGCTGAGCCTGCGCGTCTGGAGCCTGTGCTCCGCAACGGGAGAGGCCACAACAGTGAGAGGCCCGCGTACCGCCAAAAAAAAAAAAAAAAGAGAGAGAGAAAATGTAATAGAGAGGGCTTTGGAAACCTCCTTTTCTTTAATACCCTTGCTGTGGTCTTTATATGTGTTAATGTGTTTGTTTATGCTTAAGGTGGGTCAGAAACATGTATTCTTCCCCTTCAGTATTTAATTTGAAAACTTTTTCATCTACTTTTCACTGTCAAGCTAAACTTTAATTTTAGTTATCTCTAGTACTTTTTGTCCTGAAGAATGCCCCAGCAGTTGGGGTGGTTGTATATTTTCAGATTCCTCACCCACTCATGAAGTGCATTTCGTTAAGCCGGGGTTTAGACCAGCAGTGTTCTCCACACCCTGTCTTTCCTTTAATGGCAGAAAAATCAAGAATACTTTGCACATACTTGCACAAGAATACTTTGTAAGACCACTTAGTGGTCTTACAGACATTTGATGATTATTTTCAGATCTTGGCTTATAAGTAAATATAGCTATTCTGAATAGCACATGTAGATGCCTCCTTAGTAGATTACTGCTGGAACAAGTTTGGGAAGCTTTGCCACATGACTGCAATCTTAAGTGACAGAGAAAGATTATGAATTCTATTTTTACATTTATTTAATATTCTTAACCATATGAAAATTTGTTTTTGCTTTGTTCATGAAAGTTATGCCTTTATTGAAATTATTATTAGAAATCAAATCAATCTTTGCTGAGCCCTGGGTACCTAACTTTTGTGGTTTTGGTGTTTTGGAAGTGTTAAAAATAAAATGTAGTAATAATGTGCCTTATACAGAGAGGGAGGAAAATTGCCACTTTTTGATGTGTCCCATCAAATACAGCTTATTATCCTCTTTTATAATTAAATGCTGTCTTAAAAGTGGTTTGTGGCTGTTTGTGTTTACAGGATCGTCCCAGGACTTTTGACATGCACTCACTGGAGAGTTCACTCATTGACATAATGAGAGCTGAAAATGATTCGATTAAAGGTAATTTTCCAAATGTAACTATTTGATTTTAGTAAATTTAAAATGTGTATTATCTATGTAACATGATGAGCAATATGGCAAATATTATAGATTCATATTTTATATCCAGTCAGTTCCATCAATTTTATACATGTACCTCTTTTTGTTCAAAAACAAACATATTTTATGTGCATCCGCTGTAAGCCCTTCACAATTATCAATTAAGGGAACTACCTACAAGAGTTACTAATTGCTAAGGGAGGGCAGTTAACTGGAAAGATGGGAACCATACTCCTAATTTTTTTTTTTTTATCTCTCAGGCAAAACCTGCTAAGTGCCGCAAAACCTTTATGTCTGTTCACCAATGACAGTGCCTATACACTAGGAAGAGTTCAACTGTTGATAGATTTTTTTGGCCTAGTTTCATGGTTTTTAAAATGGCCAGCAGTTTCAAAGTTAAAATGAAGCTTTGTAGTTCTTGAAATACTTTTTCTGTATTATGTTAAAAAAATTAGTGCTATTCCCACTTGGATTCTGGTCTCAATTCGTTTACCCTGAATAAGATATTGCAGTTTGACTAGGCCTCAATTCCTTCATCTTTAATAGGGGACTTAGAACCACTCTTATGATAAGGGACTTAATAATGGGGAGCTTTAAAAATACAGGTGCCTGGGCCCCATCCCAAGTGTGGGATGGAGCTTATGATATTTTTTAGTGTCTCACGTGATGTTCATGTGTAGCCAGAGTTGAGAATGAGCAGATTAGTTGTTCTCTAAGGGCCATTCTAGCTCTGATTTTGTGAAAACTACCCCACAAAATAAAATATTTTTCTGCAAAAAATCTCGTTTTACTAGACTGAAGGGTTTATTTATTTATTTTTTAAAGACATTTGGGTTGTTTGGTATATTTGGTCCTGTCACAAGTTGTTTGTTCGTTTGCTTATTCATTCATTCATTCATTCATTCATCCAATGTTTCTGAGCCTGCTTTGTGCCAACACAGCTTTGTGCTGGGATCAAAGGTGGCAAAGAGCCTGTGACTTCAAGTGGTAACCAGCTTGGCCTAGTTTTCCTTTGAGTTTGGTTTATCATATTACTGATGCAGTAAAACTATTTTTCAGCAAACCTATAACAATAAATTTTTTTATGAGGAATTTTTTTGAGGTCTGGAGAGATGAAAAATAATATGTGAAAAAATATGTGTCCATCTGATGAACTAACTTTGAAGTGGGATTATTTTGAAGGTCTTGACTGAATTCCTCAGGGAATTCTGATGGCCTGTAATCTGATTGCATACTTTGTTTCTGAGGAAAGAGATCTCTCAGAATTAGCTTTTTTTTTTGGTCACTTCTTAGCACTCTGACTTTGGCTAGTCCTTCAGCCTCTTTGAACCTTTGTTTTCCCATCAGAAAAATTAGGAGAGTCTAAGGCCCTGTCTAGCACCAGAAAAACCGCACACTTTAAAATAAAGTAGCTAAAGGAGAAATCTGAGTAGTCTGTGAATTATACAGTCTCACTTTCCTAGTTTTGTACTATAGTTATGTAAGATGTTCCCAGTTGAGGACACTGGAAAAAGGGTACACAGAATCTCTCTGTACTACTCTTTGTAACTTGATGTGAATCTATGATTGTTTCAGAATTAAAAGTTAAGTACAGAAAAAGTTTCTAAAGGGCACTTTTTTCCCTTAATTGATTTCCTCAGCAACTTTTTTTTTTTTTTTGAGAGCCTCTTCTCTTATGTACTAGATAATAGGGATAATAATTAGAACTCATTTTCATGATAAGTGCCTATGTCTTTTATCAGAGAAAACAGTTTACAAATGGCAGCAGTATAAACACTTTATTATGTGATGCTTCTAAGAAGTAAGCTTCTAACTAGTGTTTATGTAAGAGTTTGCACACATTATTCTAATAGGATTAACAACATTTCCTTGGTTTATCGGATACAGTGAGGACAACTCAGGTTTATTTTTTCTTCTAGTTTGCTAAGTGGCTCATTGTGTAAACTTCTGCCTTTATTCTATACTACCTTTTAAATTTATTCTCACCAATTTTTACCTAAATTAGGTTTCTTTAGGCTGATTCTGTAGAGATAATTAAAAGTTAAGTCTGGTGACAGAAAAAATTAACTGATTGACCTAACGTGGGAACACAAATGTTTTGTGAAATTGTGACATAAAAGAGGAAGTGTGGCAGGATGGAAAGACCATGGGTCTTGCAGTCACATAGACCTGGATTTAAATTGACATTCTGGGACTCCCCTGGTGGCGCAGTGGTTGAGAGTCCACCTGCCGATGCAGGGGACGCGGGTTCGTGCCCCGGTCCGGGAGGATCCCAAGTGCCGCGGAGCGGCTGGGCCCGTGAGCCATGGCCGCTGAGCCTGCGCGACCGGAGCCTGCACTCCGCAACGGGAGAGGCCGCAACAGTGAGAGGCCCGCATACCGCAAAAAATAAAAATAAAAATAAAAAAATAAATTGCCATTCTGCCACCACAGTTTTGTGGTAGTTATGAGGATTAAATGATATCATGTGTCTATAAAATACAGCATACTGCCAGTTCATTGAGAAGACACTCAATAAATGGTATTGAGTATTACTAAACATCTATTAAGTCTGTTTTCATGCTTATCAAATGAGAAAACTGGTTTCAATACGAGTGCCAAGGTGACTTAAGCATATTAAATGAACTTTGTGTATTTTTTCCTTCTAAGAGAAGTAAGGAATTCACAGATGAGTTCATGGTCCTAAAATGCCAGACTGCAGTTATGCTTGATTTTTTTTTTTTTAAACCGAGATGATGAACTTTATACCATTGTAGTCTATCGCAATGCAGTTTTGCTCAGGGGAATATTTTATTTCTTGTCAAACTCTCCTCTGATTTAGATAGCTATTTTAGGAAAACTATGTTTGATTTTAACAGTGGTTCTATTGTGAAATTTTGTTTAAAGGTGATAATAAAAGCTGAATATCTTTAAAAAATCTAACACATTGCCCTTTTAAAGTAAGTATATAAAACTGCCTGTCCATTTTGAAAATGAATAAATAGCCTCTTCATGTGCTCTGCTTCCTTAGAAACAGATAAAACAGAAAATGGACATTATTTCTATAAGAATAGTATAGAATAATATGCCTTTCAAAAAAAAAGCTATCATATGGAGGTAGGTTTTATATTTGGGTTAGTTTTATCTTAAAAATAACTATAAAATATATTATGAATGACTTTATTTATTTATTTATTTTTGTTGTTGTTTCTTTTCATTTATTTTTATTTTCATTTGCAGTTCCTCATAGATATGTCGTTTGTGTGTATGTGTTTAAATAATGAAGCCTAAAACTGATACAAGACCTGTCAATTGAATGAAGTCGTTAAGGCTGTATTATTTATTTAAATTAAAAAAAAGAAACCCCAAATTGAATTTGCCTTTTCCTTTTGGGAAAAAAGAAAAAAATCTCCCTTAATGAAGTGGGTTTAAAATTTTATTTTATTTTTGCCATCAACAGACAAGATGTTAATATGCCTAGGAACTTTCAAATATAATTTTTGAGTTTATTTTTTATGAATATGCTGTTGATTCCAGTTGGCTTGTTTAGCAACCTTTTTTTTTTAAAGAAATGTGCAAACAGAATAGCTAGCCTTCATTTCATAATTTATATATATATATTTTTACAGTTCATTTAAAAATAGTTTTTCTAAGAATTTTAAGGCTACTGTCATTTTCTCCATGTACAGAGGTTTACCTCTTCGAGAAGAAAAGGGTCCTCCCTCTGCCTTATCTCCATGTCCTTTCACTGATGGGCTGGCATGTCTGTATGTAGTATTTTTATCCACGAAATTATGTATTGCCTTCTCCATAACTAACACCAGTGACAGTCTGTAGCACTTTTTCTCCAGAGAACGATTTCATTTTCCTCACTGCACACCCAGTCTTACAAGCTAAGAGCCTGCTCTGTAGACTAATTTTTGAATTTTGATCTCTGAGATGGCGGCTTGTGCATTGCTACTATAATTATTAGGCTTATCAAGTATTTTCTTCACCTGGACAGGAAAATCTTTTACTGTTGTAGATGCTGAGATGATTATTTGGGAAGTATTGTATCTTACTGTTACTTATGTTTTTTCCTGCCTGTGAAATTGCTACTTATTGTTTAGAAATGGAGCAGCATGAAATAGATTAAAAACACGTGCGAGTGCATCTGTTTTCAGCCCTTATGAAGCATAGTTTGGACACCGTGAAATAAAGATTCATGAAGTGGTATTACATTCAGTGTACAGTAGGAGAAACCTCTAAAAATTAAGGAGACTTTTAAAATTTTCTTTCCTGTATGTGAAGGGAATAAAGGAATATATGTATAAACCAAGAAGCAGTAGTTCATGGAATGGAAGCAGAGGGAGATCAGCACTGGAATAAAGAGACAAAAACGAGTATTTGAAAATTATCAGATGTCAGAGTAGAACAATTCACAGTTTCATAGTAGTGGTTGAGTGTTTTAAATCATATATATGAAAACAATTTAATATCCAGTTTGCTTCATTTCACTAGAAAGCCAAATGAGACAGCAAAATTATTGAGAGAACAAAGGCAATCTGTAAATTGTCAAAACATTATATAGTTGTTCTTCAGATATTAACTAACTAAATTATGAATCAGAATATCATTTTATTTTTCCTCAGAATACTGTGAAATTAGAGTCTTCCACTCTTCATATTGTTATAGGAAGTATCTTGCTTCCAGTTTTTGGAAGGGGAAGCTCAGCATATCTACCCCAGTCCCTCTGAGTTTCAGGCATTTTAAGTACTTAATTTGCATGTGGGCAATGATGATTGCATTCAGAAATGCAAGTTGTTTAAAGTGCCAGTCTTTTACATATTCCCGTTGTGCCCGAGAAACCTATTGCATATGTCAGTCAAGTAAGTAGTGTGTTAGACCTTACTGCCTCACTTGCCTCATGCATTAATTTAATAAGAACTTATTTTAAGAGCTGGACCTACTCCAAAAATGCTATGCATTTAATTCCAGACTGC